CCAGGTCAGCATCCATAGTGTCCACTCGGACCTCGAGGTGACCGGGGCCACCTCAGACGACCACGGCAGAGACTACTGGGACCAGGTCAGCATCCGGAGTGTCCACTCGGACCCCAAGGTGACCCGGGCCACCTCTGCTGCTTATGCCAGTGGGGAGGGAGACCAGCCCAGCTCTCGTACATCCACCGGCACTCCCAAAGTGTACACCCCAAAAACAAGATCCGGGGGGTCTGCTGAAGAGTCAGCACCAGGGACAAAAAGAGAGGCGGCGGCAGCTCGGGTGGCATCAGGCGTGCCAAGTGTGGAAGCTAGCCAGGAGAACACAGCCCTGCCTGAGGCCGCCTTTATAGGGGAAGGAGGAAGCAAAAGCCCCGTGGCAGGCCCCGGAGGTGCAAAGGCCGGACAGCAGGGCACCCCCAAGGCCAGCAAGGCCTCCCGCAAAGAGCACAGGGAAAGGAAGGAGAGGAGGGAGGACAGACCCCTCAGTAGGAGTTCCTATCACCGCAGGACACGCGAAGGTCACCACAAGACAGAGGGGGACAAGATGGCCCAGAAGTCGTCCAGCCGGTCCTCGTCAGGCCACAGGACACACAGAGTCAATAAAAATGAAGGCGGCCACCTCAGAGCCAAGAGCAGCAGGCACAGCCACAGTCCCAAAGGCCTCAGCCACACCCGCCTTGAGAAGGAGCCCAGGAGCTCGAACAAATCCAGGAGGAGCTTATCTGCCGTGAGCTCGGAGTCCACGCCCAAGAGACTCAGCAGGTTCAGCTCTTTCCTGGAGAACATCAGGGCCAACCTCGGCATGAAGGGGGCGGCCTCACTGCATGGTGGCAAGGTGGACACGGTGCCCAAGAGGGTGGAAGAGACCGACCTGGAGGCCACGGCGGAGATGGCAGAGTTTGGCCAGGGAGTAGAAGTCGATTCTGAGACATCTATGGTCAAGAAGAAAGTGACATTTAGAAGCCCATTACCCAGCACCCACAGCCAGAAGCCACAAAGGGCCCCAGGAGCACCCCAACAGAGCCTACTCTAGCTTTCTTTTTTTGGGTGAAATAAAGAGCTATTCAACCTGAGAACGGTTTGCCAGGGTCTGTCTGAGTGTGACTCCATCAGCTCAGCGGCGACCTCACAGAGGACTCTGTGACATCAACTGCACTGCAGGCTGAGGCCTCCAGATCCAGTCAAGGGGACCCCCTCACCCCTGCTCAGCAGAGCTGAGGTGACTGCTCCTCTTGCCTGGAACCTTCCTGGCTTTGGTGGCCCTGGGCTCTGGATGGGAGGCATGGTTCTACCTCCATGGTTTCCCACCCTTTTGATAAATTTTCTGGAGAACAGGGCCACTCAGAGGTCAGGAAGGGGAGCAGCAGCAGCGCTGGCAATCAGAACAGGGAGGTCATGGTCTGACTGAGCCACTCCACTCCTCGGCATACACCCCCGGAGAAACACACGCGTGTCCTAGGGGATGGGTGTGAGAATGTTTACAGCAAAACACTGGAGACAGACCAGGTCCTACCTCAGAGCAGACATGACATGACAGAGAGGTTCGGGGAGGTGCTCACAGGGATGAGTGAGGGGGAGTGACACGCTCACAGAGATACAGGTGCGCATCATAATATATCACAGGATATAATTCCACGAGGCCAAATACCATATTGCATACATGTTTGGTAAACCTGGAGTCAAGAACCAAGGCGTGACGAGTACTGGATTCGGACCAGTGGCTTTCTCTAAGGTGGAGAACCCAGTGGTGGGAACAAGGAGGTGGCAGCAAAACACCTGGTGGTGTTGGGAATTCATTTCTTAAGCAAGGAGGCGGGGCCGAGTATTTATTATTGTTTCACCGTTGCACACTCTCACATCTCTGAAATCAGCCTGGCCCTACAGCCATGGTGACAGATGTGAGGAAGTCGCTCTTGCCCCAGACAGGCCTTACCCAATACCTTTCCCTTCTGTGTGTGCACAAAGTGACATGGAAGCCTCCTTTGTTAAGGTTCAAATTTTAAATGACGCATCCACGAAGCCACAGTTGGCTACTAGGACAGGAAGGGATGGGCACCCTATTTTACAGATGAGGACACTGGGGCTCAAGATGGTAGCTGGCCCTGGCCCTGTGGGGCCTTTCCAAAGCATTGTTACGCAGCTCACTTCTTACACAGAGTCTGGGGCTTGGGGCGAAGGCAAAGTGAACAGGTGCAGAGAGCAGCGCCAGAAACTTCGATCTCAACTCAGAGCCAAGCACTGAATTTACTGAACTCAGATCAGGGAAAGATGAGCAGGGAAACTCCTGAGCCCCTGGCAGCTGGGGCCCGGGTCTTGGGGAGCCTAGCTTCCCTCCAGCTGTGCCTGCCCATTACACACCACAGCTGGAAATATTCCTCCTCCTGCTGGAGTTTGGGGCCCCACTGGCACTGGGTTGCTCCTGACCAGACTCCAAAGCCCAGTCCTCCCAGCCGCTAATTACACTCTGGAAAAGTCAGGACCAGAAGTCTTTCCTTCTCTTTTTTTTTTTTTTTT